ACCAACTCAAGGGCACTTAACAACAACATGAGTTGGAATGGACTACATGGCTCACAACTACCACCACCATCTTCTAATGTGATCCCGTTCAGAGTAGTTGGTAGCCAGGCACCATCTAGTTCTGGTTTCAGGGTCATGGAGGTTGATGTTGGTATGGTCTATTAGTTCGTTGGACTAATTGTTTCCATGTGTCTTTAATTTTCTTCACTCTACCTTACTCTGGACACAGACAAACCAAGAGTTTTGCACCTTAGATGGCTGTGGTTACTCATCAAAGCAGGAAGTAGAACCTTGTCTTAGTGGATTATGTTATGCCAATTGACCTTGTTGTTCCCTAGACCATGGTCTTCAGCTCCTAGGTCTTGTGACTCATTTCCTCAAGATGTTTGTCTATGTCTAAGAAGGTTTCATAACTATGCTCCACCAAATTCATGGACCTATTTGCAGCACATACAAATGGTGGTGGTAGTTATGGGCTGTGTCCAGAGGAAAGGAAAGTGAAGAAAATCGAAGACACATGGAAACAATTAGACTCAGAGACCTGTATAGGGTTTCTGAGACTGTAAACCTCATGCTTCTCTTGAGAAGCAGCTGGTAGAACTTCTGACCTTGGCTTAGTAGCCCAATGCCCACTATGCTACCAGGGATCCGTTATAGGTAAATGCACATGTAGAACTAGCAGGATAGAGATTCTTGTTTTCATAGGTAAACATTTCCTTTTTACTGTGTAGGCTTTTGCAAGCAAGGCATAATCTGACCCAGTAACCTTTGTTTACTTCCTCATTGTGTAGGAGAGTAAGCTCTGAACAGGTCACATGACCCTGCCACATATCTTTGGGAGCTGTCTTGGGAGAACTGAAGAGGTTGATTTTGGAAGCCCTTGCTTAAAAACTCTTTTGACTCCCTGTGTCATCAGAACAAGGTCCAAACATTTTAGCCTGGTACTCACTGGTCTTCTAGGCTTCCCTGGCCATCTCATCTCACGCTAATTAAGTGGCTTTTTTTTTTTAACCTTTTGTTATGAATTGAGTGAAGGTTTACAGAGCATATCATCAGTTTTACATTTAACAAATATACTTTGCTTCATTATATGGTTGCAATCTCCTCCATGCACCAACAGTGAACAACATTTACCTCCATTCACTCCAACTACTTCATACCACCCCTATCTTTCCTCTGTCAACCTCCCTCTGTGTGTATATTGCCTACTCCGTCACCCATGTCAACGCATGTCTACCCTCTAGTGCATGTATCATTTCCTCCTCCCCCCCCAAACCATCATAGATTGTTTCTTTTATCAAGAAAACCTCCCTCTCTTTTTTTCTCTTTGATGTACAAAAACAAAATAAACAGTCAAAAAAAAAAAACACAAAACAAAAAACACAAAAATACCACTCAGGGATATATAATCATTTAAACAACCACAGGGCATATTCTGGAAGCCAGTCTCCTGGCCACCAGCACACAACCTTTCTGTTTTCCAGGATTCTAGAGTCCTCAGCTGCTCAATCTCTCCATACCATCACCTCTGCCTCCATCTCTGGTGTCACTGCTTCTCTGGTTAGGGTCCCAAGTTCAGCTCATGCTCTTCTTTCTTGATGGTCCTAGGGTCCTCTGTTCCTGGAATGCAAGATTAACTACCCCCACTTTTTGTTACACAACCTCTACCTTTACAATTGTGACAATTGCAATTAGGTACGATAAAAACTACTCACTATTGAGTCAGTGAATCCCAAGCCCATCTCCTTCACCGGATTCATCCAGGCAAGAGGAAAACTGTATCACACTCTGATACTAAACTCCCTCTTGAAAACTTGTAAGCCAGCCACTTTGCGCCTTATAACCCCTCCCCCCCATTTTAGGTATCTAATGTCTAAATTGCCTGTCCCTATCAACCTTGCATACCTAGGAAATAGGTTTAATCCTTGATGTGAATGATTTTGAGCTACTACATCCGTAAGTATAGGTCAAGTTCATCAAATTGTAATAATTTACACTTGCTTCCTTGATTAAATATCTTTATCTTCCTCTAGTAGAGTTCTGATTATGAAGCCATTGAAACTAGGTTAGATGGATACTGTCTACAAGTTCAAGGAGCTCTGGTAGCGTAGTGGTTATGAATTGGGCTGCAAACCTCAAGGTCAGCAGTTTGAAACTACCAGTTGTTCTGTGGGAGAAAGATGAGGCTTTCTGCTCCCGTAAAGATTTCTAGCCTCGGAAACCCTATACAGGGTTGCTATGAGTCAGAACCAACTCCATGGCACATCACCACCACCACCATCTACAAGTTTAGGTGTTCTTGTGTGTCTCCTCTGACTTCATAGCAGCTGAACACTTCTAGGTGTTGTATTTTGACATTAACCAAAAGGATTACTCACTAATAATCAGACATCAACATTTATTGAGCACATACTATATCTTAGAAGTGACCTAAGAACTTTGCAGTCATCTCATTAAATTCGAACTCTTAGCAGAGTCAAGATTTAAACCCAGGCCTGCTGGCTCTGCCAGTTAGCCTCTTGGAACTTTAATACCTTAAGTTAAAACCTTAATTTCAACTTAATGTAAAAATGGGGTAATACCCTTTCTAAATAACTTACAAATACCTTTTACTCAATTATCTTTTCTCCGATCAATTCAGTGTAATGGCAATATTATTATTATTGCAATCATTTGGTAATGGAGCTCTTTGCAGTTGCCTCTTGTAGACATGCTCCCTTATTTGTACCCCATCCCTTTGATAAGGTAAACTCATTTTTAGAGCAAGTGTCTCCAGGAAAGTTTCTTGTACTGCCCAGGTGAGGTCAGTGTCCTTCTGATGTGATTTTGGAGGAAGGACTACATCCCAGAGACAGGACTGGTGGTTAAAATATTGAAATGTCTCTATACTGGCTTGCTCCAGCCTTCTATCCTTGAACACCTCCCAGGGTTCTAACTAACAATTAGATGAGGCCGGACTAAGAAGGAAACTTCAGGACTCTGCTCCATGAAATACAGGTGCTGTCTTACTCTTCCTGTGTAGTACTAAGTATGGCTTGCAATTTACCACTTATTTGTGCCATTAATTATTTCCTCTGTCTCGTTGCATTTCTGGAAACTTTGAAGAAGTCAGAGGCTGTGTCTGGTTTTTGCACACCTTCAAATCTTTAGGCCCAGATCTGGAAAAATAAAATAGTTGTTGACTACATAAATAAACAATATCTAGATGAGGAAACTGGTTTGAAACCTGTGTCTACCTCTGCAATGCAGGGCAAGTGGATTGACCTCTCAGAGCCTCACTTTCCTCTTCTTTAACTAAAAATCCATACCCACTGCTCAGGAGTGGATTCTGACTCCTAGTGATCCTTTGGAGTCCTGATGTGGTGCTGCAGGATAAACACTGGACTGCTAACCACAAGGTTGGTGGTTCAAACCCACCGGCTGTTCCTGGAAACCCTATATGCAGTTGTGAATCCAAACAGACTCTATGGCACATAACAACAGTGAATATGGTATATTTTTCTCCTGAAGAGCAGCTGGTGGATTTGAACCAAGGACCTCTTCTGGTTAGCAGCTGAGTGCTCAACCACTGTGCCAACAGTCTCCTTTCTTCTGTAAAACTGGTCATTCATTGAGAACCTATACCTTACAACAGGACCAAGGAAATCCTTGCTTCCATGGAACTTTCTAGAAAGACAATAAAGGTACAAACAAATGAATAAAATGACCTAAGATGGTACTAAACCAAACCAAACCCAGTCCCCCTGGGGTTGATCGCAACTCACAGTGACTCTATAGGAGAAGGCTTTTTTTTGGGGGGGTGGGGGTTAAGTGTCTTAGAGTAGATTCCGACTCATGATCGGACCCAGGATTTCCAAGGAGTAGGTTTGAATCGCCAACCTTGTGGTTTGCATTCCAGTGCTGATCCTACAGCGCCACACCTGGAGTCCTTAGAATAGAATTGTCCAAGTCTTGGTGTGGCGCTGTAGGATCAGCACTGGACTGAAAGGTTGGTTTGAAACTGTGGGCTGTTCAAACTCACCAGCTGCTCCACGGAAACCCTATATAGGGTCTCTATGAGTAAGCAGCTCTGGTAGCGTAGTGGTTACGAATCGGGCTGCGAACCTCAAGGTCAGCATTTCGAAACTACCAGCTGCTCCATGGGAGAAAGATGAAGCTTTCTGCTCCCGTACCGCCTTGGAAACCCTGTGCAGGGTCGCTATGGGTCGGAACCGACTCGACGGCATTTAACAACAACAATGAGTAGGAACCGACTCATTCTACTTCACAATAGGGGTTTCTAAGTCTGGAACTCTTATGGAAGCAGACTGCCACATCTGCAGAGTGGCTGGTGAGTCCACCTTTTGGTTAGCAGCCAAGCGCTTTGACCACTGAATCACCAGAACTCCTAAAAATGGCACTAAGAAGAAAATAACACTGTAGGGTAAGCACTGGACTGCTAACCACAAGATCGGCCAGTTGCTCCTAGAACCATATACAGGGTCTCTAAGAATCGGAACCTACCGACAGCACTTCAACAATGAGATCAGAGGGGCTTCATAGATAGGCTTGTCGCCCACTACACCCAACTGGTCTTTATAGATAGGGTGGTCACAGAATGTGTCTCTGAGGTGACTGCTTTTCCCCCAAACGCCTGTCATTATCCAATATTTGTAAAGGTTTCTAAAACATCGTAAAGCCAATGTTTCATTTTTGGCTACAGCTGAGGAGAATTTATAAATAGACCCCTCCTTCTGGAAGAGGCACACACGCCTCGGCTGTACTTCATTGGCTGGAGTCAATCACGTGACCACACTCCGCGCCAGCAACCCATGTCCCGCCCAGTAAGCGCCTCAGCCGTCAGTCAAGGACTGGGCCCCGCCCCGCGGGGGGCGCGACTGAGCCTTCTCTATAAAAGGAGTCGGCAGGCGATGACGAGATTTTACGTCGATGCGTAATGGGGGTTGCGCGTGAGGTCATCGCGCGGGCGGGCGGGCGAGGTAGGGCGGTTTGAACGAGACGAAGACGGAACCCGAGTCGAGTACGGGCACAGGACGGGGTTCAGCGAGAGCCGGTGAGCTGGCGAGGAGGCACGGGGCCGTGGCCATGCGGGCGACTAGATGGGCTTCGGACCGGGCAGGCGCTGTGGATCGTAGTGTCCGGGCCGTTCCATCCGGTGGTGCGGTTCAGGCCGGGCCGGGTGTTGGGGGGAGGGAAGGGCGGGGCCGTGACCCCGCGCGTGCGGACTGGGCCAGGGGGAAGCGCGCTCCGGGCCCTCGTGGGGGCGGGGCCTCGGGCCGGAAGTTGAGGGCTACCCCTGGGTGAGAGGGCTTCAGGGCTGCGGCGGAGGTCTTTGGTCGGAGATCTCAGGTTAGTTAGCCGAGTTGAGCGAGGGCGTGTGTGGTGGAAGTGGGCGCTGCTGGGAACTCTGAGGGTCCCCACTGTGGGAGGAAGCCATCTCACCTGATAAACAGTTTGGGTTTGGGATTCAGGCCTGCGTCCGAGTTCCTCTTGTGCGACCCTGGGCAGGTGTTTCAACCTTTAGCTACCTCAGCTTCCTCATCGGTGAAATGGGCAAGGATATAGAGAAAGCTCTTAGTAGATGGGAGTGGCAAAAGTAAGCCAGGTCGTTGGACTCTTTCAACAGACATTTGTTGAGTGCCTTCTAAATGCTGCTGTTATTGTTCAGTGCCGTTGATTCCGTTTCGGCTCATAGCGACCCTTGTATAGGATTTCCAAGGAGCGGATAGTGGGTTAGAACAACGGGCCTTGTGGTTAGCAGTCCAGTGTTCATCCCACAGCGCCACACCGGGACTCCTGAAGCCTACACCACCCGGTATTCCCAGGCGGTCTCCCATCCAAGTATAACCAGGCCCGACACTGCTTAGCTTCTGAGATAGAGATCAGGCGCTTTCTGGGTGGTATGGCTGTCGACACGGTTAAAGTGCTGGTTAATTTCCAGGATCAGGAAGGCACAAAGGACTGTTCTCCAGGAGTCTGCTTTGGGTAGGGAGACAGATAATAAAATGAATACGTGGCCAAGATGATTCCGTATAATCAGGTGATTTGAAAAATGCTTCTCCAATCCTTTCTGTAGGGCAGAGCTTGGTGGTTCCCCTCCAGGGGAGGAAAGTGACACCAGAAAAGAGCTGTGTGATCCTGACTGTTCTGGTACCTTTTTGGGACACAGGCTTTGCTCCCCTCTTTCCAAAGTACCTTAATATAGTGCCTCGAAAGCAAAAATAAGCTTAGAGTAGATTTGGGAGCCTGCTGGAAGAACTGATGAAAGATAAACAAGGTGGGCTAAAGGGAGCTTTTAAGAGGTAGGTCAAGTTGCTTTGTAAGTGTGAGGTTTGTGTAATAGTCTTGGGGTCTAGCAGTGCAGTTGTTAAGGAGGAAGTGTGAGCTTTAGCTCTCTCTAGCTTTGAGAGTTAGGCTCTGTTTTGACGGCCTGGAAGAGCCAGTTAATTGGTTGAGTCAGTGGATGTTGATCGCACATCCACAGGGTGCCTAACTCCATGTATTTCGTGGCTACAGAGTATTTGGAGCACTTGGGACCAGGTATTAATGCACTGCTAATGAAAGAGTTTCAAATTATATGATGATGGAAAGCCATTAACGTTTTTCTAGCTGGGGTGTGGTCAGGAGACACGTGGCGTTACCAGCTGCTTACATTTTATGGTAGAGACTCCACTGCACTAGCACTTAACAACCACAATATCACACATAGTACCCCATGTATGTATGAATAGTGCCAGAATAAATTAAAATGCCCAGCCTAGGACTGTGATTTTTGTTCAAATGTATGTCTCTTTGATAACAGATAATAGCATTTTGCACACAGTTTGCATTGCATTCATTCACTTAAGGGATTTTGACAGAAGACACTTGATCTGACATTAAAAAAATTCTCTACAGCTGCTGTGAAGAACAGATTGAGACAGTGAGATTAATTTGAAGGCTGCTGTAGCTGAGTCAGAACTGACTCAATGGCAGTTAACAACGGCGCTGTAGGATAAGCGCTGAACTGCTGACCAAAAGGCTGACAGTTCAAACCCACTAGCCACTACTCAGAAACCTTCTACAGGGACGCTATGAGTCAGAACTGACTCCATGGCACTTAACAACAACATAGCTGATCTCAGTGAAAGATGGTAGTGTCACATCTTGGGTATTCCTTTTGGCCCTGGTGATAGGAGAATAAGAGAGACAAGGTTCCTATCTTGGACCTTGTTTAATACCTAATGTGTGTTAGATGGTATGCCAAATATCATCTTATTTAAGTCTCGCTGTGATCACATTTAGACCTGGCTTCAACTACTCAACTCTTTGCAAAAAGCTGATACCTCCTGACCCAAATCTGGGAGAGTTTCAAGAGATGGGGAGGAAATGACAACCCAGTATAAATAATGCCTATTGAGGTATGAAAGAATTGCTTTGGTAATACAGGAGGAATTAATTTCTCAGTGGAGTTGGGAAGTAAATCGTGTTGGCCTTTTGCATAACATGGTTTTATTGATTGAGTTTGGTGTGTAAGAGTCTCAGTGGTTGGTTTTTCTGAAAGTTCATACAGATATATTTTTCTCTCCTTGACACTCTCCTGCCAACTGGAGATAGACACCACTTACTGAGTCTCACTGTGTGTGCAAGGCACTGTGCCAGGTGGCCTGGGAATATAATAAGGCATAGACCTGTAAGTCATTTATTTCTCTGGGTCTGTCACCCCTACTCAGAAAAAGGAGAGTGGATGGTTGACTCATAAGGGGCAGGTGCTCAGCAACCCTCAGATACCCTCCCCTGCTCAGAAGGCTCAGTTGAGAATTATGTGGCATTGTGGTTTAATGTGCTGGACTGCAAAGTTGTTTGAACTGCAAAGTCGGTGGTTCAAGCTCACTAGCTGCTCCTTGGAAACCCTATACAGGGTTGCTATGGGTCAGAACTGACTAGATGTCACTAAACAACAAAAACAGCTCATAACTGTCACTACCTTTAGTGCCTGAATTGAAAAGCTTGCTTACTTTTTCAATTACAAAAGTGCATAGAGTCTATTTAGAACATTTGAAAAATGGTCAAAACTATTAAGACTTAATAAAAGCCTACCATCTGAAGAAAACTGGTGTACACATTTTTTTCAATCTTGCAAGGTAAACTTGGACTGACATTTTCTAAACAGAATGCTCTTGTTTATGTATAAAGCTCCTTTCATAAGACCCCTAATTATCCCTTAGTGTCTCGTGTAATTTAGACTTTTCTGTCAGTCAAATTAAAATGTGGCCTCAACTCATAGCTGGCTAGTATTGGGCAATTCATTTCAGGTTGTGCATGTACCTGGAGACCCAGACTTGTGTCTGGAATCCTAGTGCCTCTGGTTTGGCCCCTCTGGGAAGAAAGTGAGGCTTAGGATGTGAGTGTTCCCACAAGTTTGCTCTGAGTAACTGTCTCCGAAATGCTTGTCCTTGCTTGCATGCCTCATGTAATAATGTGAGCTCCCTTCTTTCTTCTGTGCATACTGTAGAAGATGGCAGTGAACGTATACTCGACGTCGGTCACCAGTGACAATCTAAGTCGACATGACATGCTGGCTTGGATCAATGAGTCTCTGCAGTTGAACCTGACAAAGATCGAACAGTTGTGCTCAGGTGAGATAAACCCTTTAGATCGTTTCTCTAGGAAAGCCTGCTTGTGTTCTGGGAATGATCAGTCCTGTCTCTTGGGTGCAAAGCCACCCAGAGAGGTGCAGGGTCTGGGTAGGGCCACTTCATTTCTACCTCTCAGCCCTGCCCTGTTTCTACTTCTAAAATAAATTGCGCTTCGAAGACCCTACTTCTGGCTTGTATGTCCAGCATCTCTTGAAGAGACTGTATTGTGAGGCAGCCAGATTTGAAATGTTTTATTTGAGCGGCATAATTGTCCTCTTGCATATAGTACACCCACACAAATAATGTGTCTGCCCTGTAGAGTGCCCATCCATATAGGGTGCATTAGAAACAAATGCACAAGGGGTCTGCTCCCCAGAACACCACATTGCATGTGATATTTGTGTAAATACATGGTAGTTCCCTCATGATATTTATTGTTTCCAAAAAGCACGAGACCAAAGTAGGTAGATACTGATTCACCTGTGATTTTATTGAACAACTGTTTAACAGAAGCAGTTTAGCAGAGATAGTGATTTAAAAAACAAATCGTTTTCTGTTTTTTTTGCTAAAGGAAGTTGTTGCTGTTGTTAGGTGCCCTTGAATTAGTATCGACTCTTAGTGACCCTGTGCACAACAGAACCAAACACTGCCTGGTCCTGGGCCAACCTCATAGTCATTGCTGAAGAAAGTACTATGTGCTAATTGTCTAACATTTAGAGAACCAGAAAGAAACCTTTTTACATGCCTGCAATTCCATTATTCAAGCAGAGTCACTATATGTATGCTTTCTGTCTATACGCATACATGTTTTTATGTATTACAGTTTCTTTCACTTCACATTAACATTGTGGATATTCATCAGTGTCATTCAGTATCTTTGAATTAAAACTGAATTGCCATCAAGTTGAGTCCGATTCATGTGTTCCATAGCAGGATTTTCAGTGGCCTTTCTTTTGCGGTGCCTCTGCGTGGACTCAAATCACCAAACTTAAGTTATCAGCTGAATGTGTTAAGCATTTGCATCGCCCATGGTCTGTAATTTTAAGTTATCAGCTGAATGTGTTAAGCATTTGCATCGCCCATGGTCTGTAATTTTAAGTTGCTAAGTGCCATCAAGTCACTTCTGACTCATAGTGACCCCATGTTAAGGTTTCCAGTGAGCGACTGATGGCTTTGAACCACCACCCTTGCATTTAGTAGTCCAGTGCTTATCCTGTAGTGTCACTGTGTACTATTACACTTTCTGTGGATCTTCTGGTCATTTTATTTGTTTTCTAGTTTTTCCATTGTATGATTGAGTATCTTGAGATGGATCTTCTGTCTGTTTCTTCAGTGATTCCCAAAACTGAAATTACTAGATCAAAGGGGGCATAGGCTTGGGGCTTTTGGTAATTGCTTTCCCAGTTATGAGTTTAAACCCAGAGCTCCTTACCCAGTAGTTAGGGTTTTACAAATAATAGAATTTGTACCTTTGAATCAGGAGCCCCTATGCTCTTTAGCACTGTACCCTCTTGCCTCCTCAGACTGGTGCCTTTTGGATTAATTTAAAATTGTTACTGTCACTTATATGATCCCCCCCCCCCCAATTTGAGCTTTTGTACTTTCTGTTTTATAGTCGAGTCATCATTTCATTGGCTTGTCTTATGTCCTCTAAGGTTTAATCTCAGTTTTACAGATGGACAGAGAGGCTACTTGTGAAGTTGTAATAGTAAAATAATGATGCCTAATGTTGAGTAAGCATTAATTACTTTTTTAAACAATTTTAGATTAATAGTCAGTTTTTATTTAAAGGAATAACCATATAATTATTATTATACCTAAGAAATTTAAAGTTTAAGCAAATTCAAACAGTGATAGCTGAAATTAGAATTCCTGACTGGTCGCTGGCCCATAATTTTATCAAGTTTGGGGCTATGGAATTTTCAGAATACCCTTTTTTCTTTTTTCCAGAATATGTTTTTTTTTTTTTT